TTAATATGAAAACAATTATGTCGATAATTCCAAGAGATATATTGAAATAAATTTTTTTTATCCTATCACAGTTTTGATAAGTTGACTAAGAAATTGTTCACCGACACAAAAATTTTGTGCCAAGCAAGATATCGATGGAAAATAGGCCAGTGTAGTTTCTGTACAACATTCCCACTTTATCACTACGTCATAGCAATTATTACTTTTAGGGAGAATCAATGCACCCTCTAAAGTTACCCTTAAAAACTGACGTTTCCTTTAAGTGACAAGGCATCTTAATTCATATAAGTCATCATCCATATAGTTTGTCGACTTTTTTCCTGCTAATTCACTTGTTTACTTTTACATATGTATTTTTATTTTTCATAGCTTTAATATACATCTAATCAATTCTAGATCTTATTTGTCCTTTGGTTTGTTCTTTGGTTGGCAGAAAACTTCTTGAATCAGAAAATATTTTGTTTCGTTTGAGAAACAGTACTGTACAAAGAGAAAATAGCCTTTTTATGCACGTTTTACGATAAAAGTTGAATATCATTCAAATTTTACTATCTACCTATTATCCGAGGAATTTCAAAAATTCTCTTCATCTCGAGTATTCACTTATCGTCATCAGAATTTCATAATAAAAGAGGCTACACGAATACATGGCCCCTTCATTTTAGAATATTCCGCATGCACTCGGAGGCTCAGAAAAACAGTTCTGAACGATCACACTGAACGATGTGACATTGGCACAGATAATCTAATAGTTACATTATTCTATCTTGTCGCCTTTCTGTGGTCCCCGGTCGGTCTAACTTTTCGGAATTCAGACGCTACTTTCGCCTCGACCAACCAGTGTAATTGGGTACACGTATTTTTTGCGTTTCGCATTGAAAAAGGGCGAACTATGTTGTCCCTGCGTGGGGGTCGGTGACAGCCCACGCAAAAGCGGTAACGACGCATCGCCACTCATTCCCGTCGCATCGAATTTCTTCTTCCATTCCGCTCCTAAGTCTGTCGCTGGTGCCATCAGGCCCTTACACTCTGGAGAGCTTCTTACGCTAAGAAATACATCGTTACTGCTGTCACGTTGTCCAGAAGAACCCTATATAAGCAACAGAACAATTTGTTAACGCTTTAAAAATATTTGCACGTTCATATAATCCATCAAATTGTCAATCGATAGATGATTCAATATATACCTTTGTTTCGTAAAAGTCTAGACTAGACCCGTTCGTCTCGTGATCCTCCACGGGGAAACCTGATTGCACCCGATTCGACGTCTGAGACGTCTTTGATGAATGAGAAGTATGCGAGGATGAATTTTCAGATAAATCGTCTCTGCAGCAAGCAGCCGTGCACACCCTCTGCTCTCTGCTATTTTTCATAAAAATTAATTTATTTCGTAAGGGAACTACAAAGAAGGAATATTGAATAGACGTTTAACAATAGGATCCACTACCTTCTGACAATGACAGAGTCTCGTCTTCTCGGTACTGGCGGCGGAAGACCAGCGGTTAAGCTCTTGGCGCTTTCGTAGCTCGCCTCGCTGTTCCCGCTGCTTGTGTTACTGCCGTTATTCGCTTCCCTTAGGAAGTAGTTCTTCGCTGAGAGCATGGCGAAGTGAAGATTGTTCTTCAAGTCGTCCGCCGCCGTTGACAAGTTTCCCGAGATCTTTGGAGTGCGCCTCATCGGCCTTGGCGGTGGTACCGGCGACGGTGGGCTGCTCGATGCCTCCGAAAGTGTTTCAGGGGTGGCCAGTGGAGCAGCTCGAGAACCATCGTCCCAATCGCTTCGACGATTTAAACTTTATATAAAAAAAATTGTATGTAGCCTTTTACAAAAATATCTATACTACACCTAAAGAGCAACATTAATAATAAGAAATTATAATGCGGAATGAGATATTCGTTTACTAAAACAAAAGGGGATGTTTCTTTGGAGCTGCAATCTTTTTTATAAATATATATATCCGTCTTGATGATCTTATCGAGTGCAATGCCGAAGCGGTGAACATTGTGAGTCGTGAAATAAGCGAATGTGAACGAGAGCGTGACATATGAGATCCCTTAAATGCGATGGAATGATAATTTGATTATTCGTACCAATCGTATTGCCGTCTCGATGAATAAATGATTAATACAAGTTACACGAAGACTATCCTTTAGCCAGTACATTTATCAACCCTTAAATAACATCGATCTGCAGTATCAGTATCTCATATCGTATCTAATCTTCCTAAAAATTGTAAACAATCTAATAACTGACGTTGATTCGACATCGATCCTCCATCACAGACACGGCATTCGTCATCCGACGAGACGAGTAAAAGTTCTATCTTACGATTTACTCTCGTCGGCTCTGGGTGTGTTGAGCAATTCGCTGGCCAGGCTGACGTACTCCCATGGTATCCCCCTGGAGTCGACGCTCAGCTCACGGCCAGCCTGGGGGAACTCCGAGGGGCTTTGCAAGGACGTAAAGCTCGTTTCCAGGCAGAGCTTGTGCGGAGGTGTCCCAGCCAGGTTGCTGGGATGCGACTTTACGGGACTGGACGACGAGAGCAACGCTCTCATTTCTTGCTCGATCTCCATCTCCTGGATCTCGACGATCTCACGCGCCTCCGACGCCTCTGCCGATGATGCATGACCGGAAGCCAGCCTCTGCGGCTTTGCTGGTCCCAGGGTTGTTACAACCTGGTATATCCACATGCGTGTTTCCAATGTAATCGTTTCACAAACCCGTCAGATATTAATTTAGCGACAATCCCACGTTACTTTGCATTTCGATAACACAAGAGTAGGATTTTGATCGTGATTTATGAGAAGCAAAGAATTCAGTTTAACTTGATAATCGGTAAATGTGATATTTCGAGCGAACTTATTTAAAGAAGTTTGCGTGTTTCGATTAACAAAGAATTGAATGCAAATATATTGTAAATTCACATTAAGTTCATTTCCTTTGACTCTCTACCTTGCATACATTCATTTTAACGTATAAATAATTCGGATTTCCGGGTTTGAGATTCAAGTTCAAAAAGTTAAATATATGTACATACATGTACGCATAATAGACATATAATCACAAGAATTAGACACACGTATGTGGTTTATGGTGCATGAGGTATGTTTGTGTTTCCTCGTTTAATACATATGAAAAATGTAATACGGGACAGGTGTACACAAATGTTATATAATTTAAAAATAGAAGAGAAGACATGATTTTTTAATATAAAGATCGCTTCACGTAGCAATAATTATTTCTATCACAGTTTTCCATTCTCATAATTAAGTTCCTCAAGCGTGTAGCGATACGAGTTGAAACACATATTTTAACGTAAACAAATTATATGAAATGTGAAAACACAACTCATTTCATTTCATTCTCTAAGTAAGTATTAATAGCTCGAGAATGAAAGAGCAGTGAATTTCTAATTTCCATTACGGTAAAATGGAAATGCTTTGTGAAGAATCATGGAGAAAGCATCCGTAATTAAATTACAAACTTAATTAAATACTCAGGAAATATTAGAATCTTCTTCTACTATCAGTAAACAGAGTCATGAACGCTTATACTTAATCGAAATGAGACTTACTCGTGAAATATGCATTTATATTATTCGTCTAATGCAGTGACGTTCCTGTCTCGAAAGAAACTCGTCGTAACAGCAATTAACGCGTTCAAATTTTCTACATGCTGACGTACGATAGATCACGATGAACTTAATCATTACGTGTAATGTACTTACAAAATTACGGTGACTATGTACGATAAACTAAATGCGTGAGTGCACATGCAGGAACGACTGGGTCACAAATATATCATTCAATTATTCGCTCTAGATCACGTCACGTATTATCTACTGTCTTATTGTTACGATAACGCCATTACGCTTTCTTTGTATGTACGCCAAGTCATTAGACTAATTATTAGATAACTTGCAGAACAAGTTTCTATCAGAACATCAGGGATAAATGTATTTGTAGCGAACGTGTTGATGAACGATTCTGGACGTGATGACTAGAGATGGTTGTGAATTGCATGCGATAATCAGAGACAATCTTTCAAATGGGCTGCAAAGGTGGCGATAATCATGATATCTGTTGGCCTTTTTTAGTCGCTGTAGATTGACCATCAATTTTAATATTCATCCATATAGCAAAATAGCTATCGAATGGCACACGGTATTGCTAATTTATTTAATTTATGCAAGATAATGTTAAAAAGAACTAATGATGAGTTCTTCCTCAGCAATCGGATAATTGATGCGACATATATATTTATGCTTGTACATTATTGAAATAGACAATTCTCCAGCGACCTCAATTTCGTACCAATGCTACCATAGTCTATTCTTCTCTACATTGTCATAACTTCTCCTCATTACGATTTTCTGTCATAATTCTACGAATGTTAACATCAATCCAAACAGAGACCAACTTATTTTTATGTTGCTGTGTAAGTAAATTAGGTATACTTTTAAAACATCTGAAAAAATTCTTGGACACTTAACAAATTGGAATTTCGAGAACATTTGAAGAACGAAATTTCATATCGTCTTATCAACAGGCCAGGTGTTCGGAGAGGAGATAATTTCGAGCAATTTGATCATGGTATCACTGGCATTTGGTACTCGTAACAACATACACCCGATGAAACCGAAAGACGTCAATGTACCTTGTGTCGTGGCGAGAAGAGTGTGTGGTGACATAGACGTCGGCGTCGCGGCGGTGCGAGCTCATCGGAGTACTTTGTTGGTGCAGTACGACGTGTCGTTGCTCGGGCGTCCGTTGGGTTGCTGCGTCCGTCGCAATCGTTGCACGCGTTGCTGGATCTCCGTCTGCAACGCCGCGATCTCTGCACGCTGACACCTAATCCACACACCACACACCTTCAGCCACACAATCCTCTCGTGAGATCGCCGGTCGCCACGATTTCAGGGAACTTTACGTTTTCTTTTCTCTCAATTCTTTGGTCAACTCGGGATGCAGCACCTAATCTAATTTGCTAGTACGGTAAATCGATCGTTCGTTTACGGTACTGGGAATTGTGGAATGTCTAAGTCTAAACTAATCTACAGTATTCGAGTACAACTTATAATACATTTTTCAAGCGCTAAAAAAAGTACACACTTACCCGAAGCAAAAAACTTTAACAGGTTCTTCATTTCTGTTCGACGACAAGTGCAACTAATTTGGCTAATACTATTTTTACATAATTACTGTAGCTTTTACGAGATCACTTGACCGGTTAAGATAATTGAGAAATAATTTCTATCATATAAGTTGTCACTACGTCATTCGTTCTTGTTTGAAGTAATTTTAAATAATGAACTACGTTTAATGCAAGAACTTGGTGTTTTACTATTCATGCAAAGCGAAAACAAAACGAATCGCTGTTTTGTGCGATTGCACTAGAGCCTGAAAAGAAACCAGCGTGATTTGATGAAGTGTGAAATTAGAGACATTTAGTCTGGAATGCTTTAGGCGTAGAATTAGGAAGCAAAACCTAATAAATAAATAAATAAATAACAACGTTTTTATAGTATAAAGTATATTGATCAGAATAGCGTACATCGAAAATTATACAGAATTAAGTTATTACAATATGCAATCAAAACGACCACTAAAACATAGAAAGTTTAAATATAAATTGTCCGCTTTATATGTACATAATTAAGTTTCATTTTTTACGTAAACTGTATTATACAAAAGGATGTACCATAATTACTTGGGTAAAGCAATTCGATTAATAAGAGTAAACTGATCGTTGCATCGATCACATTTTTTCCTGTTAAAGGTCTTTGAGAAATTGTTAGATGGGAAACTCTCAGTCGTTTTGGATGCAGTCGAGTAAAATAAAAATATGAAACGAAATAAAAATAATTTTAAAATGAAGATATAATTATGCGAAAAGCTACATATAACCGTTTACAAGTGTTGTTAAGTACTCATGCAGTGTCGGAGCATGCGTGCGAACTATTTAATCTTAATCGATTTGAGCAATAAATAAAAACGTAAAAAAAGAAAACGCAATGTCTTACATGTAGCCTGTATATCAATAGTAACTTTAATTCCTCTTTCACAGTCGTATAAATATTATTGCTGCAATCTTGTACTGTGTTCCAAGAAAGTAATGCATATACAAATAAAAAGGAAATCAATTTCTAAAATACGCATAAATACAACTAAGTACAAAAACGGAAAAACCAAATAAAAATACTAGCGCTAATAACGCTATGAGCAGGAAGGAAATTCTACCCTTTAACGAGTCCAGAAACATTACGCAATAAATTAACCGAATCTCAATTTATGTTCGAAACTTTGCCAGTTGGTTGAGGATAGCAATTTCAATCATCTTATATTATTGTTATAGAAATGTATATCGCTTTAAAGAACGTATATTAGAATAATGTTTCTCGTCATAAACTGTCATCAAATTAATTATTTTAGCACTGAGATTAGCTAGAATTGGCTTGTTCATATCCCATCACTACTAATATCCACGTTAATTACATTTGCCTAACGCGTAGTATTTTAATAAAAACGAAAATCTCCAGCAACGACCTAATAATACTAACAATTCTTGACAAGAAAATATGTATCAATGAAAATCATGCGAATACTCTCACTATAAAAGATATCACGAAACACTGGTAAAGGAACTGAAAAACATAGCACATATGCCTATATGCTTGTTACTTTATATTTTTCTAAGATTACGAACATAAAAGTGAATATTAATAGCGAAAAGACCGATTCTATATGTAATAGAGTTTTGTCTATATCTCTTTCGGCTCGTGTACTTCGACGTTGACCACAATCGTCCCGTTACACGCTTTTGCGGTAGTACGATTACTTTCAGCTTGCACATTATTAGCATCGAATTCTTTCACGCGTTCATTATTTTCTACGTTGACTACCACGTTTTGAGTTTTCTCCGCTTCTTTCGCGGCTTCCGTTTCGTCCGTAGTCTCCTCCAAGATCTCGTAATTACCCGGTCTTACCGAGGGCACCCGGCTAACCGGCGATTGCAACCTCTTTATCTGACGAATTATCGAATCGGCCTGGCTTACCTTGTTCAAAGCTTTCAGCATATTGTCTGGCATGTGGTCCTGTATCATCACTGGACTTATCAGCACCTCGTCGAAATCGCAAGGTCCTGCCCACAGCGCTTGATACACCGGTTCGCGTTTGTGCAACATTTGTCTGTAATTGAAGAAAACGAAACGCACCGTTCGTATGTCATAAATCATCTGTCGAGGATATAATTAGAGCCGACAACCCCATGAGACCCTAGTCGCTACGTGGGAGTCATGCAACGAGATGTATTTGCAGTTTGCTCGTACGTTTACTTAAACTATATTGGACAGTTTCCTAAACCGTGTAATCAAGTCTCAATACTATGGATCAGAATAATGTTTTCAATAAATTATTTATAAATTTTATCTGTGTCTATGCTACTACATGCTCGAAACTTTTAAGTGTACGCAAGACAGTTGGGAGGTGATAACTTCTAGTGTATGAAAACGATTCCCAAGTATCGGCGTTCGAGTTCTTCAAAGTTTGAACTGACAAGTATCGATCTTAAACGCGTATACATAGAAGTTTATTGTCTAGTTTAAGTTCAGAGATAAGCTCCTTTCTTCACGACTACTTTTCGATTGTGTTTCAAACTTTGAAAATAAGTGCGTGACCGCGCCAGAATTACTTTGTACACGATTACTGTAAGTATTTCACGGTGTAGCATGTGTCCCTTATGAACCAATTCATGCAAATGGGGGTGTGAAAACATTTGTACGCGAAAGTCTTTCTTAAGAGAGTCGGCCGGAGTGTGCGGTAATAATACGAAAGAAAGTAGTGTAGGAATACGAGTCCAAGTTTCGCATGCGGGCACATCCTCAAGATGCAATTACCCAGAGCAACCCTGAAAACGGAAACTATTGAGTAAACGTACCTCCAGCGGCTCTCATACTTCTGCCTAGAAACGGAAAATATCCTCGATTAAAATTCGCTTTCGACCGTTATCCTCCGAGTGTCTTTATACACGCAGGTGTCCGCAGTCTGAACGATGTTTGAATAAACGAAAACCGGCGAAACATTCGCGATCGATCGAGCACACTTACTCTCCCTTGTTAGGATGATGTCGAACGACGTGTATGATTCGACCAGGTGGATACAGGGGCCTGTGCAGAGTTAGCGCAATGCTGGAGTCACTTGGGACAACTGTTTGTGAACGAGCTAGGTCTTTATCCCTTTGGTACTCGCTGATACATCCGCCGGCTTCTAAATTTGCAGCCGATGTCGGGGTGGAACCGCAACCGCAACACATCACCGAGCATGCTATCGTTTTCCACTGAAACGGACGTACCGATTGACAACGACCATATGCGAAAGAATCCATCATTGATTTCGTCGCCAGAAGGTAAACACGGCGCGTTTTGCGTGATCAATACCAGGATTAGAAATTAAGCGCTTCGACTAGAATTTACCCAGCTACCGGTTAGAATTAAAGATAAAAAATTTCGAAGGGTATCAGTAACTTGGAAAGGGAATTCGCACCTTTGCTATTTCTACCAAATGGAATATTGAAACAAATGGGAGGAATAAAAGAATAATAAGAGGAATAAAATGTTATGAGGATTTTATATTTTCCATTTCCTCCGTGATAAAAGACGTACCTTTGGATCAACGCTTCTTTTTATGGCGTTGATAAGATCTGCTCTTAAGCTTTCCATTTGTCTAAGGCCTATCCTAGGTACCACATCTTTCCCGACTACTACAGATGTAATAAATTCTTGCGAATATTGCTGAGCGGGCATGCTCAAGAGACCACCCGGTGGAGCGAACGAAAAGCATACCAAGTCTGGATAGTCCTGCTTGAGCAGAATCGCCAAGATAGCTGCTGTACCCGCACCCAAGGAATGGCCAACGAACGCCAAACCGAATTGATGGGTCCCTCTCGATGTATCCTGAGGCACAGATTTGAACCGTTTCCAATTGCTTCAAATGGTATTTCGGGATATCGAATACGAAGCAATAGTTAAACAGAGAATCATACTCGTTTCAACTAGATAATAAATTTCGATGTGATATTAAATCAAGACCGAGATTATAAATGAAAAGAATGAAAATATTTTTTATTCACATCTGTATTACGTATTATACTTTTAACCGTCCTGACACGAAACAGGTAACGAGCACAATGATAAAGCATAATTATTCAACGGGTTGATAAACAAGGAAACGCGACATACATTTGCATTCCGATAAAGCTAAATGCATAATACCTTGGCGAGTGCACGCGATATAATTTCCTCTTCGAGGAGTTTTTTTCGAATGTATTCGGCCGCTTGGACCATACCCTTATGGCCCAGCCAGTCCTCCCTTGGTGGTGACAATGGTAACACTTCACCCTCCGCGTTCAAGTCCGTTAATACGTCCTTCATGCTGAGGGTTCCTCGTATACTAACGACAACCTTGAAAGGAACCAGCAGAAAATTGGTGATTAACCGTTCCCGAGTACGCTCGAGTTCGGGGTAAAGCGATAGTTAAACCCTATTTTAGTAGGCGGGGATTAGAATTTTCAGTGAGGCTTCAGTAAAGGATAAAATATCGATTATAAATTATCTCCACCGGTTTTTCTTTTTTACTATGTTATAACTCACGGTTTCTTCCCTTGAAGATTACATCGCTTATAAGTAAAAATAATGTGAAATTAAGTCAGTAGCAATTATTGTTCGTTCAAGCACGTTAAATAATCATTAAGCAAGTTTAAGTCCAAATTCGATAGAAGTTTAACAGACCTAAGCAAAACCGTTTAAGGATGTATTGGCTATACAGTCAATCCCAAAAGTTTATGTACCTTAGAAAAACGCATTTCCTATAATTAAAAAAAAAATCAGTCGTCGGAAGAATAATGCTAATAATAAATAGCTACGTGCTAAAAAGTATAGAAGGAAATATCCAATTAAGTAT